GTCAGGCGAGGGTACAGGACGAGAAACCTCTCGAGGCTAGAGACGATTTGCGGAAGGCTGTCGATGCCAAGTATTACGGCTATGCACCCGATGAAGAGGACGAATCTCTACTGAAGTACGAGGCCGCTAAGGAGAAGGAGGCGTTTAATATGCTACTCAAGCAAGCAGGCAAGGGCAGCAACGATGCGAAACCACCGCCCGACTGGGAACCGCTGCCGGGTGACGCGGGTGACGGGCGTGCGTGGGAGTTGCCGACACTCGAGGAGGTTCAGCAGGAGCTTATTGAGAGGAGACGGCGGAAGCTCCTTGATCAGATCTAGCCGACTGCCATATGATACCATATCAACAGACACCGGGTATCGATGCGAACAATGATTAATGCAACTGCTGCCTATTGGGGTCTCAACTCGGAGTAGAGCTGCTTGATAAGCTAACTTCGATGGTGGACAAATCAATACATAAAAGCATCATGCCGGCACGGAAGGCTTTCACGGTTACGCAAGGAGATAATATCACCTATATGACACTAGACCGGGGCTCACCGAACGGAGATGGAACGGAGACGGAAACAGGCGACGCCAAGCTCGGCGCGACGCAGGACTTCAGAGAAATGGTAGACAACTTTCGCATACGCCAGCTACCCTCTTTTCGCCCAGCTCAGTGCGAGCCATCCATCCATTCCTTTGCCCCTTTATTCGCCTACTCGGGACTGGGGTTCTATGGGTTAATATATTGCACCTGGGTTTCATTTCACTCACTCGGGTGATTGGGATTTAAGAGAGAGAAGCACGGCGGCGATCATATTGTCGTGAAAGCAAGATCCAGACACACGCAATGGTTAGTTAGAATAATTGAAACGCCAAAACATCATCTAATAAGGACTAACACTGTTGACCCAGCGCTGGGGGCGAACAGGGAGTTGCTTCGGAGGAGACCTACGTGTACGTAGGACGGGTTTCGTTCGACGAATTCCCACAAAGAATCATGATCTACTAGGGCGTGTCCACCTGCTCTCGAGGAGCCGCAGCTATCTCAATGAAGCAGGTTATAAAGGGCCCTCAAACACATCCTCGGCATGTGCCGTATTATCACGCCCGCGGTTGCCTTCGGGTCGCTGGGTACCGTATCTCAACTACGATAATTCAAAACTTCAGATGCATATGAACAAGCAAACGTTCGGTATTTCTGTATGTACATGGCCCGTCCGCAACTCCATTGAACCCCCTATCCCAACGTGACTGGTTACCTACATAGCAAAGTGGAACTGCGTGCGCAGGTAGGTGATTAAGGCGACCTAGCTAGTAATTACTTCCTTAATCGCAATACCATTCTCAAGGACATCAGAGCGGTAGCGGCACCTCTACGAGGTTTGGGGGGGGAGGCGACGAATGTGCGTGGATTAGGACAGAGGTTCACATTGGTCAGCGCAGTCGGTCTTAACCTATCAACCGACCGATCAATAACAGTATGCTCATTCCACGGTTTAATGTCTACTGACGAAGGGTTACCTTCGGGCAGAGCTAACCGGCTCGTGAGCTTGCAGGTGGTCCGACAGTTATCAGGAGAGTTTGAAGTGGCTGATAGTATGGATGAATCAAATATGTCCAGGCCTATAGCCGTTATTAACTCGACTCGAAGATAATGGGTACTCAAGTTCATCAGTAGCCATACCAAACAATACGGCAATAGTGTTGGGTATTAAAATTAGATTACCAAGGAAGTCTGGGTATTAGCTTCGTGGTCCCGTCGCCCGGATTGACGTCTGAGAAGATTATAGCCGCGAACTGTGAACCACAAGACATATCCCCGGCTTGCGAGACCCTGTACGGGGTTGAGTCCGTTTTTCGCTTGCTAGTTCTGCATACACGTATTTGTTCAAGCCTTAATCCTAGCGGGATCATCAGTTTCTAGCTATGGTTAATAGCGCAATGGTTGTTGATTATGAGAAGTGGTGTTGCATGTCCTCACCGCTATGCATAGCTCTTTGCACATTGTCCCAACAACAGCAGGTGGTGGTGTCTATCTCCTGGACTTTCCAGGTGCTGCTAAGATGATTAATCTTAAACATGTCCGCCATGATCTCATCAGTATCCCATATACTCCCCGACTGACTCGATACGCATACATACATGCCTCGGGAACCATATTACCTATCTAAATATACCACCTTGCGGGTCGTCATCTATGTACATAATTCAGAATGCCAAACCCCCCCTCTCTGGATTCATCTCTTGTCCCTTTTCGCAGAGCACTCAGTTCCCTCGCAAGACTCATATCGCCTAGGGTTACTGAAAGACTCGGGGCTGCGAACGTTCAAATGCTTTGGCCGTTGATTGCCAGCGCTACTGCGCTGCTCATCTCATACTTCTATGCCAAACTGTACTACAAGAGGTTCAGGCAATATGCCAACTTCCCTCAAATGCCCACGAGCCTTATCCTAGGTCACCTCAAAATCATGGACCACTTCATTCGAACATCAAAACCAAATGGGCACCCGGGTAGGTTTTATTATCCCATTCTCCCCCCAACCTACTCTCTACTTATACTATTCATTCCAAATTGCCAATATCATGGACGTATCTTATATTCAACTATATGATGAGTAGATCTCGCCTTAAAGGCCATCAACGAGGCGCTAGGGCGACCGCCTTTGATGTTCCTAGACCTCTGGCCGTTCGGTCCTACCATAGTCGTCATCAGAAGCCATGATGTAGCGGAGCAAGTCTCCAGAGGGTCCAAGCAATTCCCCTACAGTCTCCCCAAGATGCCGGAAGCTTTCGACCACATGGTACACGTGACCGGCCCAACCTCAATCCTAGGCGCAAACGTACGTCAAATGAACCGCAGCTTCATTTCTTTCAACCAAGTCATTCCATATTGCTAACTCTGAGCCGCAAAATTTCAGGGGCATGAGTGGAAACAGCTGCGCAAACGGTTCAACGCCGGCTTCACACCCAATCATGTAATCACATTCCTGCCTCAAATCCTGGAGAAGTCATTTACGTTCCTCGAGAACCTAGACCAGCTAGCAACAACCAAACGTTCTTTCTCCCTAGTCGCGCTTACGGGTAATCTGACATTCGACATCATCACCAGTGCCACTATGGATGTAGATTTCGGCGCCCAGAAGACAGACCAGCCAAGCGAATTCATCACCGCCTACCACGAACTGTTCGAAACGTACGCAAAAGAGCAGCTGGATGTCCCCTGGTACTTCGCGCCATTGACGGAGTGGAAACGCTGGCGGTTAGCCAAGCGCGTGAGGAAAATGCTCACGCCCATCGTCCAAGACGCGTACGCGAAGCAAAAAGAACAAGGCGTTAAGTCCCGGAGTATCCTTTCCCTCAGTTTCGATGACAGCGTCAACGCCGTAACGCCCCAAGTTGTCGACGAGGCATGTGACCAATTAAGCACGTTCTTGTTCGCTGGCCATGATACGACTAGTATATTGCTCTCCTGGCTGTTTTACGAGCTCTCGCGCACACCGCGCGCGATGAAGGCGCTGCGCGACGAATTGGACGATGTCTTTGGCCCAGGTCGGTAATAACTCTTCGCTCTGCCATCATGTATTTCCGCGGCCCCTTTCTTTTTTTCTTTTATTTATTTATTAATTTTTTTATTTGATTTAAAACACGTCTCAACCCCCAAAAGCATAACTCACACGCGCAAGCCCAGACACCAGCCCATCCATAGTAAGAGATAAGCTCCTCTCAGAAAATGGCCGAGATCTCCTAAACCGCACGACCTACACAGCAGCCGCCATAAAAGAGACCCTCCGCCTCTGGCCGCCGGCAGGCACGGCGCGGACCACGAAGCAAGGCGCCGGAATCAAGGTCCAGACCTCGACCGGCGAGTACGACATAGGGGGCGTCAACGTGTATAACTGCGCGTTCCTGATCCAGCGCGATCCGGAGGTATACGGCGACACGGCGAACGACTTCATGCCGGAGCGGTGGCTGCAGAACGACAATGCGCCCGAGATCCCGCCTTCGGCTTGGCGGCCCTTCGAACGGGGCCCGCGGAGCTGCATCGGTCAGGAGCTGGCTAATCTTGAGGCGCGTCTTGTGGTGGCGCTTATTGCGCGCCGGTATGATTTTGTCAAGGTGGGTGTTATGGAGTTTTGCATTTCGCATATGCCTGAGTGACATGGCAGGGAGTTTTCCGCTTACATGTTTCTATTTCGATAGGTCGGACTTGGTGAGCCTGAGCTTGACAGCGCCGGTAGGCCCGTTCTTGATGAGAAGGGCTGTTATAAGGTCGTTTCGGAGATGTATCCGGTACGTATGAACTATTGGCCCCGGCTGGTCTTGTTTGGGAACTTTCCCGCTGACATGAGCTCTAGATACGAAAGGTCACGCCCAAACCGGTTGATGGGATGATGATGCGGGTGAACTTGCACCAGGAGACGGCCCTTTAGGTTTGATTATAGCGAGCACTGAGAATGACAATGTGAGGGTTGTTTTCACTGCTTTTGAGAATATGTCAGTGATCACCTCGTAAACCACAATAAGATCCCGCCAGTCAACCGGAAACTCGTGATGCACGCGTGATCAGTCAAAGGCCCAACCAATAGACTACCAACGATCGACAATCACCCAGAGAGATATCATGAGGATGAAGCCACCGCTTTGATCGGTCTGACATGCCAGTGAGGCAAAAATCGCAACCCGCCATTCATTCACGGGGGACTAACTCACGTCTATGACTCCACGCGACAACAAAACCCACCTGTTCAGCCGGATACCGACTCACGATAAGTCTCAAGCTATGCAAAAAGTAAACCCAACACCTCTCCCAGTGTCGCGCAACATCAAAATAAATCACGTATGATTGATTCCAGCACTCCGCACAATCCCAGCTCAAACCACCACATAAAGCCAAACCCGCAAAGCCACACACTACTTCCCTCTCTATCCCCCATCTCTCTCTCTTTTTTTAACAAAAAAAAGAAAAGAAAAGAACAATAACACAAGAAGGAAAAAAAAAGAAAATCAAAAAGATGCGGTGAGTGCGGATCGAACGCACGGCCTTCAGATAGATGATGAAGTGGACTTCAGTCTAGATAAGCGAGAACACGTTAGCACGATGGAAATTCGTGGAGACGGAGTCAGAGAGTGACTGCGGGAAATATTTCCTTACCTGACGCTCTCCCAGCTGAGCTATCCCCGCTTGGATGGTTTCCTCGTTTGTTATTTGGCTCTGTTAGCTGTCCTTGTTGGTTTGTGCATACTTGAGATTCTGGCCAGTGGTTTTAGGTAGTTCTCATTTAATCGTTGGTGGCTGTGTAGGTCAGGCGTAACAATGGCGAGTGAGTAATAAGACCATGCGAGTCAGGGCATTGATAGCTGTGCGGTGTCGGAACCCAGATGCGCAGTTCAACTCGGTGAAGAAGCAACCCTCATCTATAGTTACAACACAAGTGAAAACAAAGTCCAGAGTGTGAAAATATCCTTGTATTATCTAACCAAGTCCCAAATCCCAAGACCAGAACCCGGCCGCTGCATGATGAATCTCTAATATGCTAAAAAAGCAAAAGTCGACGAGACCAATAACCCGCCCAGCGAGTAATAAGTCCCTCAGTGGAACCAATTCCAAAAGGTACAATATAATGCACAAAACACAAACCCGCTCATGAAAACCGTATAACCCGAAAACCCTTAGCACTTGTCTTTCCAGTTCTTCTTGACCCAACCCGCAATGACGCCCGTGAGAGTCTCATTTAAGTACAGCTTTACATCGTCTTTACTATAGTCGCCGCCGCTGAATTTCAAAGCCGGGATGATCCACGGCTCTACATAGTCGATGAACACAAGATCGACCTTCTCCGGGTTCTCTGCCTTCGGAAACGCGGCCTCTGACTGGATGGTGTTGGGCACGTTGTAGAACTTGATGGGCAGGTGTACGGCGTCGTCGCCATCGTCGCCGAGGTCATCCTTCGTTGTATACCCGCTGACCAGTGCCGGCTTATCATTCTCACCGTCGCCATCGCCATCGCCATCATTGCCTCCATCTTCGGTACGGAAGAATGGGTGTTGCTGGCGCTCCTCGTCAAAAAACATCAGGGGTGACTGCGCAGCCGATCCTGACTCTTCATGGGGGAGTGGGTGGGGCGCATTTGATTCGGGAATGGATAGATGATCCGTGTTACGCTCTGCTCTGAAAACCGGACCCCCCTCGTTTAGGAGTGGTACCACTTTCTTAGCCACATTGTAGGGAACATCGGCAATATAGTTGAACTTGCTGGTGAAAGGCGAGATCAAATAAGTGGAATCCTTAGTGAAGGCCCCCTTGAAGATATCAAACCGAATAGCGCCAGTGTTGATAATGGTCAGCCGGGATTTGTCAGCTCGATCCTTGTTGACGACACCATCTGGAACTACTTCGCTATCAAGCCACGAATAGATACTTGAATCACCGGGATACCGGGCACGAGTAACCCAAAGGTCTTTAGGCGAGCAGCCAATTTTGTGGTCGAGATCGAGAGCTTTCCGAGACTTTGCAATCATTTTGCTGACATTGCGACCATGTTCGGTGGGGAAGCTCTTCTCATCTACCCCGGCATGATGCTGTAGACCGAGAACGTTGTTGTCGATATAACGCCGCTTAAAGGAAACGCTGGCTTGAGTGGAGGCGGTATCGCCGCTCTTTTTCTTGATGCCATCAATGGACATCCATCCAATAGTCTCGAAATACCGCCCACTGGCAATAGCAAAGGCTTTGTCGTCGAATTTCCTCGCATCTCGCACATGCGCATGACCGCCGAAGAAAGCGATAGGCGTGTACCAGTTCTCATCTCTGATGGCCTTGAAGATCTGCTCGAACTCTTTCATTCGAAGCCCTACGTGGCCGAGAACGACAAACAAGTCGGGCTTCTCCCGAATGGCGGCTTGGAACCATTCGGCCTTCACGGCCTTTTCAACTTTTATGACGACACTGTTATTTGCATTTCGATCGAAGTCGAATAGAAAGCCTAGGGCGACGATAGTGTATCCTTGATTTTTTGTTTTGAATTTGATGTATCGCTGGGCTTGTGGTATCTGGTTGCCAGTCTGGGGCTCTATATAGTCGACATTAGAGGCAATGTAGGACTCTTTGTAGTGAGGGACAGTTATGGTGTGTTCTCGGGTGATTGTCTCGGCCTGGTACAGTTCATGGTTCCCTGTGCACAAGAGATCCAGGGGCTGCTGTCCGAATATGTCGTAGATGTATTTGCCTTTTGGATCGGAGGCGTCGTACAGGCCGTTTCCCTCGACACGGTCACCGGTGTCTATGACTAATAAGTCGATTCCTTTTTCGTCGGCTTTCTTTCGCATGTGTGTGGTAAACGAGAGGTAATCCCCCCAGTCGGCAGAGTATTGGGGTCTGCGGAATAGCAGGGAACAGTCAGTAACCACCTTCAAGACCGTGACGCAGTATCATAGGGGGGAAAAGGGATTCATACTCTTGTAGATGGCCACCAAGCCAGCTGTGGGTGTCTGTAGTATGCAAGAAATTGATCTGTCCCCAGTCCAGTTCTCGCATGGGAGCAGCCACGGGCGCTGGCGCTCCTGGTTGAGCCCCATTGGCGACGGCGGCCAGCGCCGCAGCGACGACAGCAGTGGTGTAAATCATGGTAGGTTCGGGTAAATGGGCGCACTCAAGCGTATGGAAAGAAGAAATGGACGTCTCCCATCGGAAAGATGGGAGAAGAGGAACAATGGTCTATAGATACTGGTAGCTTGAGGGCACCCCCGTAAGGCAGCAACTTGTGTGTTGTCAAGGTGCAAGAAGTGCCAGCGACGAGGCGATCAGCAGCCCCGGATAGGTAAATGGCAGCGTGCCTGCCTTGCTGCTACGCACATGCATGGCACGGGTCCGGACCTTCCCAGGTACCGGGAGTTTACGCAATGGAAACGCGCTGCGTCGCAGGCTGCCGTCCGCTGCAGAGTGGGGCCCCAGCCACTGTGGGGCCCTGGCTACACACCGGGCCAATCCCGTGTTGCGCTGTCCTGGCTTGACGTGGCGCCACGGCTCCATGGGCAGGTGGGCCATGGCACTCCAGGGCTCCAGGGCTCACGGCCGGGGTCCCACCTGTCCAGCCGGTCCTGGCCAGAGAAGCCCGGTCCAGCCCGGTCCAGCCCGGCCATCGGCAGCAGTGCTGGTTGTGCACCAGCCTATTCCGGTTAGTCGACAGTCGAGCGAGCACTGGCGTGCCAAGCAAGAAACCAACCTTTCCATCCAGGCTCTCAGATTCGACATCGGCCGCTGAAAGATGCTGGCTAACATCTGATCCCACCGCCCTCACGAAAAGTAAACAGCAGGGTCACATGTCTACATATGCCAGACATACCCATTTCAGAGCCGCCTACAAGGCGGTAGCGACGCGATCACGGCTCAGTCCGGTGCTGGGCCTCTCTGCATCGGCACGGGCTCTTCATCAACATGTTGCGGCCAATAACCAAGAAACGGGTCACCATGGCCGTATGTCTCACCCTATCTTGTCACATCCCCCGGCACTTCGACAATACTTCCCGCAAAATCCAAGGCTTAAGCTGACTTCTTCCACCGATATCTCGTCTACAGAAACCTCCAGCATCCGTCTCACAGTGAAAGACAATATCGCCGCACAAGGATTCCCCACAACATGCGCATCCAATATCCTAGCCGGGACCGAGATCCCCTTCAACGCGACCATAGTAACGCAACTACGAGACCGAGGCATGGAAGTAGTGGGAAAGGCAGGCATGGACGAGTTCGGCATGGGCACTCACTCCACAACGTCCGCCTTCGAATCCGTACACAACGCGCAGCCCCTCGAGAAATACTCAGCCGGCGGCAGTTCGGGCGGGAGCGCCGTGGCCGTGAGGGAGGGTAGGGCCGATATTGCGCTCGGCACGGACACGGGGGGCTCTGTACGTATGCCGGCTGCCTATACTGGAACGGTCGGCTTCAAGCCCTCGTACGGCATGCTGTCGCGGTGGGGGGTAGTCCCGTATGCGAATTCCCTGGACACAGTCGGGTTGCTAGCTAGGACTGTTCGTCCCATACGTGAGGCTATCGTAGAGTTAGGTCTATACAAAGAGCACGATCCTAGAGATCCTACATCACTTCCTGAGACCGTTCGCTCGAGATGCACGGCCGCGCGGGAAGGATATAATCTAGTGAGAACACAACATCAGACTCTGAAGGGGTTAACCTTTGGCTTCCCGTTGGAATATAATATCGAGGAGCTTGACTCGCGGATACGACAAGGCTGGCTTCAGGCGCTTGAGACGATAAAGGAGCTCGGGGGAAGAGTCGTCCCGGTCTCGCTGCCGTCTACGAAGAATGCGCTGTCCGCGTACTACATCATAGCCCCCGCGGAAGCAGCATCCAATCTGGCGAAATACGACGGCATTCGGTACGGCCACCGAGATACGCAGGGGCCAAGCGATGCGCAGGATGGAGTGTTATACGCGAGAACACGAGGCTCAGGGTTCGGGAGCGAAGTTAAGCGGCGCATATTACTGGGCTCTTATACTCTGAGTTCGGAGGCTATAGACAACTACTTCATCCAGGCGCAGAAGGTCCGTCAGCTCGTCCGGCGGGACTTTGACAAGATATTTAAGCTGGAGAACCCCCTGCTTGACGAGCAGCACTTCGCTCTCAGCGAACTGGACGAGTCTATTGGCATCGATACTAAGCTAGGTCCTGTACAAGTCGATTTCCTCGTCTCCCCAACCGCCCCTACCACGCCGCCACTCCTTGAGCAGGTCCGCAATCAGACGCCGCTCGATTCCTACGTGAATGATGTCTTCACGGTGCCCGCGAGTCTGGCGGGCCTTCCTGCCATCAGCATCCCCATGGATATCCCAGTCGACTCTACAAGCGAAGAGCAGACACTTCTTCATTTCGGCGGTTTGCAGCTTGTTGGGCAATATTGGGATGACGCGCGTGTTCTATCTGTTGGCGAAGTATTACTAGACCATGTTGCTAAAGGCATTAACTCTGATCTCTGAAGGGTTTAAAGCGAGAATCTTTCTATAGAAGAGGCTTGGCGTGTGGATTATACGGTACTCCGTTGTCCTAGTGTACAGTATTAGCTATACCCGGCTCTTTGTGCCAATGTATCTGAGTAGAACTTGGAACTTACCCCTGCATTTCGTCTCTCGGCCGCCATATTATCGTCCGCATGATATGATGCTATTATG